AAAAAAAAAAAAAACAATCGAAGAAGGGGATAATTTACAAAATATCAATAAATGCAACAATATATCAAAAAAGCTCAACTTGTCTGGCCTCACATGCTTCACCACGGAAGTTTGCATCAGCTATTACCCGACAGAAGAAGTAGGGAAGAGAAGGCCAGAAAAGTGTCAGCGGAAGAGTTCAGGAAATGACCACATTATAAACTTGGCAAAGATGTCGGTCTCCAGAAACTCAATGTGGGCAGCTCTGCCAATGAAGGTATTCAAATTCTTGCCCTGGTTAGATGAGTCAAAGTTGACATCGCAACGCATGAATACTCGCTGCTTGGATGAGGGAGCTCGAATTTGATCCAGGCAGTTGTTGAGCATTTCAAGGAATATTTGAGCCTTCTTTGAGTTATCTGAAGAAGAAGCTGGAGATAGCTCGATTCTGGCTGAATGATACGGAACATAACCATCCTAAAACCAATGAAGGGATATATGCAGAACAGTTTAGTAGAAATTTGATAATTATTAACTAATACGGCCAGCATTTACAGGTATGATGCATCATGAATATGAATTTTTATCAAAATAACTCTTAAAAAGCAACTTGTTACCTCTAACAAAAAACATATTTTGAATAAGATTGGGAATTTCAATTTTGCTTCTAATTTCAACTACCAACTTAGGTTATTTTGAAGAAAGGAGATGTCTTTGTATGTGATGATTGATGACCCTCAATTTCTTCATGTCCATTTCGAGATGGAGTTGTTTAAGGGTTGGGCCACTTTTGTGTATGCTAGCTCGATACATGTTGTTAGGTGGGAGCTGTGGAATAAATTAATTGTGTTGGGTTCTAGTATGCAAGATAATTGGATGGCGGGAGGTGATTTTAAAATGATTGCAAGCCAATCTGAAAAACTAAGAGGGAGGTCAATTGACCCCAATTTAATGTCTGGTTTTAATGATTCTCTTGTCGAAGATGGTTTGTATGATCTTGGCTTTATTGGCTCAATTTTCAGTTGGAAGAGAGCCAAGTAATTGTCTCGTAAACCAGGAATGGCTTTTCATTCTACTGTTCCTCATTTGCCTAGATCGGGTTCCAACCATAGGCCAATTCTCCTCAACATTTCTCTTCTGGAAAACCCTAAGTTCACTCCTTTTAGATATCTTAACACTTAGTCTAACCATCAAAACCTTGTTAACTTTGTTGGTAGGAGTTGGAAAACCACTGAAGCAAGAAATGCTTGGTTTCTAATTTGGAAGCTTCATAAGAGCATTGCTAAGGCTCTCAGAGCGTGGAACTAGGAAACTTTTGATGAAATCCACAATAAAGTCATTAAAGCTGAAGGGGAGTGAGTCGTTTGGAAAATATTGATATAGAGAATGAAACAGTTTTTGATGACCTGCTAGCTGCTCACAAGAATTTGTTGAATTCCATTAAATGTGAAGAAGATATTCTTAAGCAAAAAGCTGGTGAGTTGCATTTCATGGAGGGGGATAGAAACTCCCATATTTTTCAGGCTTGTATCAAAAACAAAAGAAGAATCAATGCTATCTTAAGAATTCAGGATGAAAATGGAATCTGATTAACTGAGGAGGATATTCGCAACACGGGCCAATTATTTTGAGATGGATGTTTTGTAGAGTTGGCTCTCAAACTCCCGTTAACCTGGTTCTATTGGAAGACCAAAGAATATTTACAAATAACCTTGTTCAGACTGATATTCCTAGTGAAAAGGAAACTTGGGAGGCTTTAAACACTATTGATGGGAACAAATCTGCAGGCCCAAATGGTTTCACTGCTGATTTTTATAAAAAAAATATTGGCTTGTGGTTAAAAAGGAGGTGATTTCAGCGATTCAAAGCTTTTTCAGGGGTGATGACCCGTGCAATTGCTTTCTCTACTTCTACAATTATTCTAGTTGCTAAAGTGAAAGAGATGACTGGTTGGGATCACCTTACTGCTGCCAACTCAAAAAAAGAAATAGCAAAATAATTGTGGCTAGAATCCGACGTCATCTTCCCACTCTTATATCTATAAATCAATCGACTTTTGTTAAAGGCAGAGATATTACTGATAAATACTGTAGAGGACAGCACCCCACTCAAAGCTCTTATAAATTGGGTGACTCAAAGATTCGGAAAGGTATGATAAAGGTTAGAGATTGGGCTGAGATATCTATTTGTTGGAATTTTGAAGATGGAAACATTTTCTTCTGGAAAGATAACTGGTTTATGGATGACGTGTGGCATCAACAAGTAGGATACTATTAATTTAAAGGTTTCTGATTGTTGGATTGATAACAGCTGGAACCTAATTGTGCTTGAAACAGTTGGCGGTGCATGACACTGCTAACTCTATCTCCAATATCCAAATTGATAGATCTCAGAAAGGTAAACAGATTATTAGATTCCCCCCTTCTCATTCTATCACTAAAACTATGTACCGGAACCTTCATTCGTGGATGCAAGTGGATTGGGGTAAATCAATTTGGTGTAAAATACTCTCCCCTTCTATATCCTTCTTTATTTGGAGAGCTTATCATAACTTACTGCCTCTTGATGATGTGTTAAAACTTAAGGGGTTGAGACTCCCCTCTCAATGCCTTCCATGCAAGATGCAGGAAAATTTTATTCATCTGTTTTTTTAAATGCAAGTTTTCTTTGCATATTTGGCATGCTATAAAGGGCATTTTGGGTGTTCATATTCCCAGTGATGGTTGGCTGAATCTGGAGCAATGCAAATTGACTTGGAATTATAGGAATCGCTCGAAACATATAGCTGAATTAATTCCATATCTATCGATTTGGTTTATTTGGATGGTTCTTAGCTCTACCATGCATGAGGACATGGTGATCAATGCTGATAATGTTGTGGCAAATGCCATTGCTTGCATTCATAAATTTGTTTTATTTGGTCATGCTAATGCTTCTTATTTCACTAGTTTTGAGTACGTTAATCGTGATATGCCCTGCAGAAGAACGAAGAATGCTGTTAAATGTGTTCAACAGGTGATTTGGAGGAAACCACGCAAACCTTGGCTCAAAGTAAATACTGATGGCAGCTGGTCTGTTGATAAAGCTGGTGCAGGTTGTGTTTTCAAGGATAGTACAGGAAAGGGTCTTTGCTATTTTCTCTCTCCTTGTGATGTGTCTTGTGTTTTAGAATCGGAAACTTGGGCTGTTTTGTTGGCTGTCAAACTTTTTAAGATCTTTAATTGGAAATGTTTGCACGTGGAGATGGATTCTCTTAAACTTACTGAGTATTTGAGTAAGGCTAAACCGGTGCCTTGGAACATTTCGCTGCGTGTGAAGCGAATTCGTGAAATTTCTAAAGGTTTATGTGTTATTTGGAGCTACATCCCGAGGGAAGGTAATTGTCCTGCGAATTGGCTTGCAAAGAGTGGCTTTTCCTTCGAGTGTATTGTCATTGATATAGTCCCTCCACCCCCTCCTAAATTACTCCTACGTGGTGAGTTAAGCTTCCTTACATCAGAAGCAAATATCTATTCTCCTGATTTTTGGGTTTCTGTTAGTTTACTTGTATATATTGGAGATTATTTTGGGTGGGTTGTAATCTCGATTTTGTGGTTCCTTAAGTTTTTCTTGGGTGTGTAATTTTTTAGGGTTTAGAACAAACCACAAGCCAGCTTTTATATATATATATATAAACCACAAGCCAGCTTTTATATATATATATATATATATATATTGTTGAATCCGAATATATAATGTAAATCATGTCTAAGAAAAAGAGCGTACAAAAGGAAAGAGAGATAAAAAGAGGGAGTGCATAGTAAAAAACTGATTCTTTGATAACTGAATGGTTCCCGTTATTACAGAAATAGCCCCCTTATAAAGGGGTATAAAGTGCACAATTTCATGTTTGCCCTTGCTTTTTATGAGGGCATTACGAGATCCTATAGGTATAAAAAAAATGAGCCTATGGCTCAGCTACCATATCACTCTATCAGCTAAGATCAGCGGTCTTTGGGTCGTCAAGGCTCGTTCAGTCGACTCAGGTCTGGTTGTCTTACAGTAGTCCAACTTCGTTCAGCAGCTTGAGTCGGTTGCCAAGGTTCGGCTGTCAACTCTTGACTCCTTGATGAGAATCTCCTGTCCTCAAGATGGGACTAGGTTGTCAAGCAAAAGTTGAATCACCCTAATCTAACCAGTACCCTAGCCTATGAGAGGAAATTCATCTGAATTGTTCATGGTGTGTAGTGATAAGAACCTTAGGACTCTTGAAGAGTCTTGGGGACTCTTGTGAGGCAACCAACAATGTGGTTTTGAGAGTTAGGCTGATGTCTTCTCTTGATTCAATGTTCATGAACTTCGACTTGAGCAACCTTCATTTGACCAGATTCAAATCCTGCTCCAAAAGAATTATAGTTGGTTAATCAAGCCTTTTAGTTTCCCATTGATGTGACCTTTGATCTTTCTTCTATGGGCCAACATTGACCTTACTTTTGTCTCTTAGTCGGTTATTTAATCTAGATTCGCGTCTACACATTTCTCACACACATATTTAGTTATTTGATCCTCTTGCTTCTTGAAATTTGTGTTTCAATGAAAAAAAGAAAAGTTGATGCAAAAATCAGATTCATTTATTTTGTAATCAATATTTTAATAAATGAACTACCTGATTTCCGTGTTCACGACCTTCAATAAATAGGGCATGGTTTGTGTTTTTGTTGTCTGCATTGTTTGAAAATGTGTCTTTTAGCAATCAACTTCAAGAGTGTTTCCATGGCGAACGGCAAGAAATTCGCGGATCACGTCCTTACCGAGGAAATGATGGTAAAAGCTTTCAGGGCTTATGTGTCATGCTTTCATTTCGAGAAGGAACTTGAGAAGAAGCAAAAAGGAGGTAGCAACCTCGAAGAAGAGAAGTCTTGAAAAAAAAGTTGGGCAAAGTAAGCCTGCTTGAGGATAGGAAGAAGCACGGAGTGACAAAGAGGCCAAGAGAAGGGAATCGACTAGAAGGTAAAGGCGATTTGCGCAACAAGTCTACAAGAAGAAACTGGTGAAAGTTTCAGAGACGAGTATGTGTTGTCCGACTCACTGATAAATTCTCTGTTGTGGCCCGTGATCGGCCTACTGAACAACCTGCCCAAGGGACGACTGGAGCTTCACTGCCAGAAGATTGGAGGACAATGGTAATGGAACTAGGCCTCAGGAACAAAACGGTGGGCACCCAACAAGATCAGGGGGTTACAATTTTTGAACCAGACCATGGAAAAGAAGCTGCGGGTGCCCCCGCCGATGCTTGGTGATAGTTATCCTTCGTTTCGGTGGTCCGAGTTAGATTGCACCCTAGGTAAGTGGAGACGATTCGTTATGGTTAGAAGTTGCTTTTATGTACTAATGTTTGTTTGTTGATACCGTTGATGCAATCCTGGGCGTCCATTTGCCACTACCAGGTGTTGATCAAGTTCCTACTCGTGGCACAGTTGAGGGAACCCAGGCCCAGG